GCAAACAAACTCATCTAAAGATATTACCACTCATTCTAGTCCTAGACCACAACACCATATCAGGTCTTAGACTCGTAGGAGCTGTTTCCTGTGGACGTTTTCCTCCTAAATCTACCTGCATCTCCCCGCCAGCAGCATCCTCCGCCCGGCCTCCTCTTTTAAACGTTCTGCCCCTCTTAAACAATGGCCACACTCTTCACCTCCTAAAGGAACCTGCCTTTGCTAGTCTTCTACACCTGCAGCTAAGCTTGTTGTAGCCAGTTTATGTATGTATTGAGCATCCGGTGTCAGAATTTCATCTGTCTGATCTTAAATTTGGAGTTATTTCTGTGTATCTCCCCATTCAGAGCAACACGTCTCCCCTCTGGCGCCTACATGCCTCCATATGGACCCTCAGCCCTGTGGAAGTCCGGCCCGGGGCAGAGAGTGTGTACTGGGGCGGTAAATTCCTCTTGATTTTCTAAGTATTGCTGGAGTTGACATATGCAGACAATGGTCTGTAACAGGACGGTGGAGCTGAGGGTTCACAGCAGCCCCGTGAAGCAAACAAACCCCGTCTCTGTGCGTGTGTGAGTGTGTGTGTGTGTGTGTGTGTGCTGGCCTGCCGGCTGCTGGCCTGTGATAATGGAGCTCTGCAAATGTCTCTCGCCTCATTACATCTGCGGCGACAGGGATCCTCGCATTCAAACCGTGACCCAGGGCAAAGTTCACGTGCTGCCTTCCTGTTAGCGTGTGTTTGGTGGGACAGTGAGGCTCCGGGGTGACATACCCACCCAGAGGAGGTGATGCCTCTGGCTTTGTTAGGTGTGGACTAGAGGCTGGCCACTTCCACTGGGACGGCCGGGTGGAGATGACCAACCCCTCCCAGCAGACAGGCCGCTGACATTTGAACGCTCCTGCTTTCTCTCTGGCCTCTGACCGGGGTTTGCCTGCATATTTAACCACATCAGGGCCCTGCTACTACTGCTATCATTATCATTACCAGCTATATCTGTACCATTTTTCCTCCAGTCTGTGTGTTACTGAGGAGGCTGCCTTGTTGGAGCCATGGTTCTGCTCCAGGTTTTTCCTCCTAAAGACAGTTGTTTCCTCCCTGTGTCCCCTTGTGCTGCTCTTGGTGGAACTGTTGTTCTTCTGGAAATAACTCAGAGTCTGAGCTGCTCTGTTTGGAAAGCTGGCAGATACCTGTTGTTGGGATTTGGAGCTATAAAAATAAAGTTGAATTGAATTGAACCAGGGGTTCCTGCTTTGGATCTTAGCTGGGTTCTCCAAATGTGGGTTCTGCTTCTGTCTGGGGACTCAGGCTTCCTCCCACAGTCCAAAATGTGAGACGTTAGGTCTATTGGTGACTTCAAATTCATGCCTGGTGGGACTAGTTGTGTGGTTGTTGGTCTTTCTGTGGCAGAGCAGCAGACTGGTGCACCGTCCATGGTGTAGCCCACCTCTCACCCCGTGACAGCCTGCAAACCGGAGCTACAGAAAACGATACGTCCCATGTCTGTCCAGGTAATCTGAGTCCACCCAACCCACTGACAACACTTCAAACTATGTTCAGGTTTCAACAGGAGGATGTTCAGTGTGTTGAGCCTGCTGGGGACTGCACTGGGGGGCAGTGTGGGGAACAAACCACACTTTGTTGCCACCATTTTTAACCCCAGTGTCTAAAAACATGCACGTCAGGCTAATCACAGACTCTATACTGCCCCCAGTGGAGTGTGGTTGTGTGTCTCTGTGTGGGCCTGTGATGGACCAACCAGTCCAGGGTGGACCCGCCTCTGGCCCGGTGTCAGGTGGAGGATACGGACGGGTCCAGCCGGTCAGAGACTCACACGGGGGCCTGGTGGGGTGTCGGGGGTCCCTCCGGCATGTGTTCCCACAACTTGGCCAATCACACAAGCCGATGGAAAACTGAGTGGTGACATGTAGTCAGCCAATAGTGGCAGCACAGCTTAGCACGCCGCAGGGCAGGTGCTGCCCACCTCTCTAAAGTCAGGAGAGGCTTCAGGGGGAAAGTTTGTGTACTTCTGAGCCCTAAAAAGAGCTGCGAGAGTAGGTTGGGAGCATGAATGCCAAACTGCAGCCAAAATGCATATTAGAGTAGGACTGCTTGTTGTACTTTTAAATAAAATGTGCATTTCTTTTTTTTTATTTCTTTGTTTTATTTTGTTTTATTTTTTTATCATTTTATTTCAATTTTTTTTTAAATGATTTATTTATCTAAAATTGTTTGTTTATTCGAATTTGCAGGTATGTTCAAAACTTTTCTTTAATTTGATTAAATAATGAAGCTGTTAACTTTAAAAACATCTATCCATAAATGGCAAATCCCATCAGAAAGTAGCAGAGCTACACAGCCCATGAAACAGAGGAACTATTTTTGCAGGATTTGAAGTTTTGATGCATCTTTGGATTTATTGGGAGGTCATTGTAATGACTAAGTTATAGTATCAGCATCAACAATCACTTTCAGCGTTCACAAAAAGTATTACAGCACACGTCACACGTGATAAAAGTTAAAGGCAGTTTCATACCGTGTGTGTGAAGAGTTATTTCATCCAAACCAGCATGACCAAAGATAGAATCACCACTCTGGGAGGATGTTCATTCAAATTTATTAACAGAAATGAGACAAAATAATTTCATTTGACAGCTTGTGGAATTATGGCAATACAAAACGTCTTAAATGAATCAAATAAAATCTTTTGTCACTTATTTTTCCCCTCCAATTAGGATTAAATCACATTTGAGTTTGTCAGTAACCTAAATGAGGAAACGCTCAGTCAGAGTTCAATCAGTCAAGTCTTTCCAAAGCTCTTGTTTTCCTTCATAAAGGCGCCCAATCTCCCTCCTTCTGAAGGGAGTTCAAACGCGTTTCATATGAGGAGTATTGAATGTTATCCAGTTAAAGTCTCACTCAACAGTTTCAGGTGCTGCCAACATGAGCAGCAAATATAAGGACTAAAGCAAAACAAGCTTAAAAAATAAGGCCAAGAAATGAAAGACTTCTTACAATGGACCATCTCCACATATTTTACACTCTAACCTGAATTCTTGGGTCCTTGTAGATGAAACATGTTCTCTTATTCTTTCTGAGTGATGCACTGGTTGAAGCATTATTAGAGAAATATAGGCTAATGTCTGTTCTTTGAATATTCAAAGTTTTAATAAATTTACATGACATCCATCCGACATGATTACCAAAAAACAAAAACAAAAAAACAGTTGGAAATAAATTAATCTGTGTGGATTAAATAAGATGTTCTTTTTAAAAATGAAATAAAAAACAAACAAAAACCCTTCAACAAAAATGTTTTTTGTGAGAGGTTTCACTTCTAGTGCAATGGGCTCTGACCTCTGACCTCTCTGTCCCAATCCTCCAGCCATTCCCTTCGTGTGCAGCTCCCCTCACAACCAACCGCTCCAGCCACTGCACGCTCACAAATGTACAGAACACATTAGTCTCATCCTGACCACTAACAAACATGGGACTGTACAGGTGTGTGAGGACTCGGGTAAATGGTTGAACAGATTTGTGTACTCTACAACACGTCCTCAGGCAGGAGCTACAGAGACAATGTGTGACTTCCTGTGTCGTGTTGCAGCTCCGTGGAGTCACTTCCTCGCATGCCTTTACACCGTTTGTGCCTTTATGTGTATGTAAGCTGTCCCTTTTGTGTCTTCATTTTGTGTGCAACTCCTTTGTGTGAGTCTGTCATGTGTGTGTGTGTGTGTGTTGGTGTGACTGATTTACCAAGTGCCAAAATATCCCTCTGAGGTTTCTGGCAGTTCGATGAGGGCATGGGACTGCATGCATGTTTATTCATCACATCTCCTTGTTGCACGCACGCACGCACGCACACACACACACACACACTCACACCCACACGTGCAGGTCCGTGTGTGTGTTTAGGAGGACATGCCGTTGACCAGGCTCCGCAGCTGTTTGACCACAGTCTCAATCAGCTTCTGCTTGTCTCTGTCATTCTTCCTGAACTGGGAAAAGATGTTGTTCTTCTTGCTGGTGTCTTTCATCCTGAGCACATAGAGACAGAGAGGCAGAATGTAGACCTCCAAATGTAGGAAAACAGATTGCTGGACTCCTTTGCTCCTCAAGCTGTACAACTCCTCATTTGGGGAATATTTTCTATCTAAAGGAAACAGATTCCAGGACATTACAATTTCCTTATGCTCTTCTGTACCATATACACTCTTTTTATATTGTCTGTTGCATTTTTTGAAAATCTTTTTATCTTTAGTGGCTTCTTGCTTTAACTCTGCCCTTTGACCTCTACATAAGCTACTGGAACCAGAATTTCCCTGAAGGAGTAAATAAGGGGATAGATAAAGCTGAGTCTAAGTCCATGGTTAGGCTGTAAATGCTCCTCTGGCCTACTGGGGGCTGCTGGACTCTGTGAAACCCCTTCATTAAAACATCTTGTTTCCAAAACACACCAATGATCAGATAGCTAGCATGTGATATGTAGAGTGCCAACTCAGAGGGACACAGACAGTTTAAACCACAGGTGTCAAGCCCCGGCCCCCGGTCCAGGGTTCAGCACACCTGATTCCCATCAGGGAGCCATTAGCAGGCCTGAGCAGAGCTGGCTGTCCAGAGGAGATCCACTGAATCAGAACCAGGTGTGCATGGGCAGAAAAAAGTCTAAAACCTACCGGAAAGCGGCGTCTTACACCTGGTTAAAGTGTGTGTGTGTGCCATGCTAACGAGGAGGCAGAGTGTGTGTGTGGAAAGGCAGCGGGCATGGTGCACCTACCCCCTGTAGACTCTGCTCAACAGCAGGTAGCAGCAGTGGGGAAACAGCAAAGAAGAAAGATTTTAAGAGAAACAGTTGAGAAAATGGAGGAAAATGTCATAGATTTCAAACTAACCACATCTCTGTTCAGCTTTATCAGCATTAGCAAGTCAAGCTTTAAAATGACTCAGATTGCCGGATAATTTTGTGTTTGTCAACAACCCTCTTGCTACGACTCACAGCCAAGATTCTTCATTTCCAATGCACGTTTCTTTTTTTGGGGCTTGTCAAAATAACTCACTGGAAACCTGGATAGTGAGAGTTTTCTCAAGATCTGATGCTGTTGGCCATGAAAATGTTTGGCAAATTCATTCAGTGCTACTTTCTGCCATTGGTTTTTGTTTAGTTCCCATACAAAGGCTTTGTATCTTGATAAATGGTCTGTATTTTGTAAAGGCTAAAGGCCTATACACCCTAACATGCACAGATAAAAGAATCAACCCCACATTTTAAGAGCAGATGGTCAGTCTTTGTGTTCCACTTACTTTTCCAGTAGAGCCAGGGCCGTGGCTGGATTCACCCTCAGGTATTTAGAGTTTGGCTGGCCATAGTCTGCTAGGTAGGTGGACCAGTCCCAGACCATGAAGAGGTCCAGGAGCTAGCACATATGAAAGAGTAAAAAAAACAACCTCGACTTCAGAAACTCAGAGCAGCAAAGTTTCAAACAGCATCCAAAACTTTGACTGGGTGCTAGTGCCTACGAAGAAAGTGAATCAGGTCTAAGTCAAAGAAATGTTAACATTATGGCACCAGATACAAACATTTTTCTCTAATAATCTTCTTTTAGTTTGTGCAATAAGCACAAAAAATAGCAGAAATTCAAATGGCTCCTTGAGAATACCTGCAGGAAACGGTAACTGTGCGGTATTTTTTAAAGCACTTTTGAAGTCTAAATGATTACTGAGAGTACTTTCCCACCATTTGCCAGGTTCACTCACAGAGCACAGGTCCATTTCCTCTACAGAGGCCTTTTATGCCTTCTGATGGGGGCTAGTTAAGCCACCAGTTTCCAACTGACTGTCAAGTTGTCAGCCTTGTGAGCTCCAGGGGTCCCTGCAGGACTATTCATAAGCAGGAAAGCTAAAACCAGTATCAGGCCAGAGACCTGGGAGTGGTTCTGCAGTCAGACCGGACTCTAACACCCACATTAAGACAGTAGTGAAATCAACTACTATCACCTAAAGAACATACTGAGGACTAAAGGACAGATCTCTCAGCAGGATCTAGAAATAAATGGTCCTTGCTTTTATTTTCTTTATTTTCAGTAAAGTGGACGAATGCAGGGGTCTCTCTAAAACCCCCCATCAAACGGCAGCTCTTTAGAAGGCTGCTGCCTTAAAGACTCCAGACGACATCACTGCATACAACTTCTTAGACATTTACACTGTCTGTCAGAGCTGATTCTGAAATCCTGATGCTGGTTTCTAAATCTCTGAAAGGTCTTGCGCCAAAATACATTTCTGATCTCCTACTCTGTTATGAACCAACCAGAAAAAACTCCCAGAATGCATCACAGTTGCTTAAACTCATAATTGCTTTAATCTAAAATGAATGAGCTGTCAGTTGATTGTCCACTTCTCTGACATGAGAGCTCCAGTGGGGCCTGCAGTGCTATTCTCAGAGAGCTAACAGCGTCCTCTCCTACTTTATTTTCCATTCTCCGCACAAACAAATAGAGCATTTCAAGTGAACAAACAAACAAACAAACAAACAAACGTGTGTGTTTGTGATGCAGATGATCTTCTGGAACTGGGTAGACCATGGAGGGTAAAACTGAAAGTGCTTTTTATTCATTTATCCAAAGACAGACGTATCATGCTCCTGATGAGCTCTGGTTGGTCCTGGGTCTGTGATGCTCTGAGGTGTAGAGAAAAGACCGAACAGGGCTGGAGCAGAGGGTCGGGGGGGGGGGCTCCCCTGCTACACCAGGAGTGTGGAGCATCAGCAGAACATTTAAAATGAACTCCCCGATGACCCCAAGTTAACCTGCCGGAGCAGACCCCCCCCCACTCACATACATAGTGTATGCTAATGTCCCAGGGTGAAGCAGCTGGGTGTTTGAATCATGTTGAAAGAGCAGTGATAGAGCAGCTTAATTATAATAGCATTATTCAGCTAACTGGCTTCGACACACACAGAGAGACTCAGCCACAACACATTCTCACCTGGAGCCGAGCCATAAGCCATCTCACTCAGCCCTCCAGAACAAAAAGCTAAGGGGATTAAGGCCTTCCTGCTAATGCCTTTAAGGAAAACTTGAGTTTAAATTGGATTCTTTGTGTGATCTGGATCTTTCCATTATGATAACGTGGCCTGAGACCCTGACCCACATTAACACACACACATATCGTGTTTCCACACTGAAAAGTTGGAAACTCTTTGCTGTATTCTTTAGTGCTGTGAACCCACAGAGCTCACAGAGCTTTGAAATTTGAAAGCATAGCAATAATCTTTTACCCAACAACTCATGAAGTTAGTATGAGTGCCATGAAATATTTTGAAGGCGTTATTTGTCCCACAGCCAGAACAGCCAGATTAAGTTTCCAAAAGCCCTTTATTGCCTCTGTCTCGGTTTCAGCTGAGCCACTTAACCCTCCCTTTTGTCTTGAAGCCATTCCTGCCAGTGGTGTGTGAAGTGTTGCAGAGTCTCTTCAGTTTGTGCTGACCTGTTAATCGGAGCCTGGGGTGCAGGCTTACCTCTGCATGCAGCTCAGGTCACTGCATTGTATTAGGAACTTCAGGAAGTTTAAGCATTTTTTCCATAGTTGGAGAAGCACAGAGTCCCTTATTAGGAGCACACGAACCCACGATTAGCAGCACCAGTTCTTTCAAATCCACTTAGATGTGAATTTGTCAGTTTAAAGTGTTGATGGAAGATGGAGATCTGTAAAATATACACGAAAATACCCTGCTGTGCTTCTGGAGTGCCCCAACAAACTATGTGGCTGTTGGTGATTGTGATCTTAATGGCCTCGTTACAAAAGAAGGAACCATGTTAGCATGACACACCCATTCATGCCTGTTCATGGACCAATATTTTAAAAGCAGCAGCTGCTTGTTGAGCCACTTTAAAGGGGACTGCAGAAGTACTGCTTGAGATAATTAAAAATGCTTAAGTTGAGTCTAAAATATTTTAATCGACTTAAACAATGTTGCGGACCTTTCAACAGTAATCGTTGAACAAAATTCCCAAATTCCCAGAAGGACTGAGACAGTAAGTAACCTCTGTGCTTCAGGAAAGCATGCCCGGCAAACATAAAGAGTTTTTCAGATTTTGCATAACTAGGTGACCCATAAAAAAGATGGAAAAAGTTTCCACTGATACACCAACAGTTCTTCACACAATATTTAACCCTAACTCACTGTCTTTATGCACAGAGTATTTGATTTTTAAAGTGCTTTTGTGACCTTCAAGTTCATGTTGTCATGCTTTTCCTACACTTTTCTGATAGTCTATTCAGGAAGGATGATCTTTTGTCCCTTATGTCCTTTCAGAGTGTATATATTTGTCAGAATATCCCACCGTGAAGGTGATGTGTGAACAGCATGGGTGCAGATGCTTCAGACCGGGGGCAAAAGGTTTGTGTATTCATAATGCTAGAATCCAGAACAATCACACAAGCTTTCACTCCAAACCTGACACAAGATCAGTGTGCTTTTGAGGGACTCTGTGACCTGTGAGGGTGCCTCTGTGCTGCGCGGTGAGCCGGTTTACCTGTCGCAGATCAATGAAGGCCAGCTGGAGCGTGTCTCCTTGGAAACCAGGAACTGGCTCTGAGCTGGCAAACACTGAGAGGAAACACACCCACAACAACACAACACTCCCTTTAAAATCAGAGAACAGTTCACACAGCCTGGTGTAAATATAACGAACACGTGGAGGTCCAAAGCCATTCCAATATAAATGTACATAAACACTCACATTCACACTGAATGACATCCAGGTTGAACTGCTGAATGGCCCCCATACTGATCTGTTTGAGCTCTGTGTCCAGCAGCATCTGCATCAGGGATGTGGAGAGATGCTTACAGGCAGACATGCAAGCTGTCTGTGCCACCTTGCCCTGCACAGAGAGAGGAGAAGGGAGAGGAAGATTAGTAGAGACTCAAAAAAGGAGGGAAAGACAAGAAACATTACAATAGTTGACAAGATAATGAAGAAGTGAGAGAAAGACTGGAAAGGAGAGATGATTAACAGATGATAGGCACAGATAAGAGAAATAATCACATGGATGGTATGTGATAAGAGAATATAATAGATAAATAGAAATGGAAAATAAAAAGTAATTCTACCTCAGCTATCTGTCTCATGCTAGCTTTCTGCTTAAGCAGCACGTGTGAGCATGTATACAAAAACAAATAAATACAAGTCATAGCTCTTAGCATCACCTAATCTTTGCCCAGGGAATTCATTCTAGACTTCCCCTACTTTCATTTGATTTTTTTTAATTCTGCAGGGACAACCTGTGTCACTGCCTATTGTGTCACAGCCTTGTGTGAAACATGGGTTTTAATCACAAGGACTACTTGAATTTGCGTTCACGGGTAAGTGAACCTGCAGCTCATTTCATGGAGGCCATCTCTGGTAAAGCTATGCTGCCGTTTGCCTGTTTCTCTTTTTATTCTGAAGTTTAAACAGGAGCATTGGGCAGGACAGTGTCCCCTCATCAAATGATTGGCCAAGCAGAAATAACTCACTATAAGAACTTTCTGAAATTTAAACCAGGGATATTTTCCAGATGTAAAATTAAAGCTAAAAAAGCGGGGGGGGGGGGAATCTGATGTACCTGACTAGCCCACATGCTAACTTTTCATGTGCCCACTTACCTTAAGTGTCTTTCCACACAACAAAAAAAAAAAGGGCTGTTGCCATAAATTTGCTTTAAGTTTTAATGCTTTTTTTCAGTAACTTTAATTTCCAGTGTAGCGACCTAGAAGTTACTGTCCACCACATTCCACAGGACTTCATAAGTATCACTAAACTGAGTGGAATTACACTTAATTCTTGATCTACTTTGGCCTTATGCCATGCACACACATCACATTCAATGAAGAAAAAAACTTGAAGCATGCAGCTGCGTAAATGTAAAAGGCAGAAAGTTGAAAAAGAACAGGAGTGGACACAGGAGCCAAGATGAGTTTCTTACATTATATCTATGCTGTCTAAAATTAAACATCAGAGCAAATACAATGATGATGATGAAATATAAATTTGGAACACTATTTGAACTTGATCAATCTTTTATAAATTATGCTCCCCAACATCTTACAGATGTGTGACACCTGCCAGCTGAAAACAATATCACATATATGTGGAAGAATCTGGAGTTTTTGAGGAGTTCTATTTTTAATTTTCTAATCTAAATAATAAACTATTGCTCATTTATACAGAGTATATATATGATCTATATATATGATTCTAGAGGTACAAAATAGTCCCTGCAGATTCTTTTGTGTGGAGAAGGGGTCTAAGTGGCCCTTTGGCTGATAAAGGCAGCAGAGCCCTGGTCCAGACCAGCCCAAACCTGGGCTTTGCTTCTAGACTTTCCCTTCTATTCATTGCTTTTGGTGCTCCATTCTCTTCATTTGGAAAAGATTGACAATGACCTCAAGACTTGAGCTTACTTTCAAACTATCTTAAACCAATGCATTGAGCCTTTGTTAGATTTTTTAAATGTCTTTATTTGCCCTGAGTCCTCTCTGTAAAAATGAACTGATGAACCTCTGGAATAAATTGGTTTATGTTTCAATAAAGAGGTCTGGAAAAAGAGGGTTTCTAACGTTAGAGGCTGGCCTTAGCTTTTAGCTTTCAGCTTTACTGACTGTCCCTGGTCTTCCATAAATGAACGGCCCACTTGATGAGATGTGTCAACATTCTCACTGTACATGGATGTCCTCACCAGGATTACAACATCTGCCAGCAGAGACATATTCCTAATATATATATATTCCTAATATATTCCTAAAGAAGTGCAGCTTCTGCATTCCAACATTAGCATGCGTTTCATGTTCCCACCGCCTGCAAAATGGTAGCAGAATGTTAAAGGATCCAGGCAGAATACTCACCGACATTGATGCATGGTCATTGTTGTTACTCTGAGCAGAGAACCCCAAACCAACCAAAAATGGAAGAAAGGGAGGAAAGGGAGGGAAAGGATAGGAAAAAATGTGGCAACAATAAATGGACAGGAGGAATTAAATTCAACTGGAAAATATCTTGGATGCTTGACAAGTCAAATGAATCAAGGAGTAAAACAAATCAGCTTTAGTATTGTTCATTACAGGAGGTATGAATGGGAAAGCAGGACACATTCTAGGAAAAACAAACAAAGAAAAAGGAAAAGAAAAAGTGGAATCTATTCAAGGTTTCATTAGCAAAGGTCGAAAGAGGAGCTGGTCCACAGAAGTCGGACAATAGGGCCGAACAGCCACAGTCACCCAGCAGTCAGTGTTCAGAGCCACAACACAGCTCCTGACCAAGACCTGCTCACTCCACCATTACCAACCGGCCCCGCTTTACTGGGGATCACACTCAGCTCCACTTCATATTCAATCTCATATTCAAAATTTCATCCACACAGAAATGTTCACATTTTCTGGGACATGACAAACATATAAACAGGCAGAAAACCAGAGGCTAAGAACAAACATAAAGGAAAGAAAGAACCCTCATATGTCTACTCATGTATATACAAATCAATCTATTCATCTGGAAAGAAAAAGCAGAAGAGTGCACAGACCAGCAGCTATAGTAACTGGCTGCTGTGGTGTGGCTGTGGTGGGGGGTGGGTGGATCAGACTCACTGGAAGGTGCGTGAAGACCTGGAAAGTGGAGCGCAGGAAGTTGATGAGGTCCATCAGGTATCCGGAGGCTCGTCCATCTGACTCAGCCATGCCCCATTCATAGTCTGCCAGCTGGATGAACTCGTCAATCTTCTGGTTCAGTTTGGTGTAAATCTCTCCCTCTGCAGCATGCCGAGCATCCTGAAAATGTTTAAGTTTAGAGTGTTTAACCTTTTACCTACAGCCATGGAGTATTATCATCAGAACTCTATCAATGAGATCAATCTCAATCTGCTTCCAGTTGATGGAAGCCAAGGGATAAAAAAAGAAACTGAGGGGAAAAGAGACAAAGACCACCAACAGCTCAGAGGAGCAGTGACTTAAGAACTCAGCCAGACGTCAACTCAACTATCATTATATCGACCAAGTTGCCATATTCAATTGAATATCATACTCACACGAGACATTTATAGAAACATGGTTGTACATGAAGTGAGACTGAAGAGTTTATCTTCAGATCTAATTTCTTAAACTTGCTCGATCGTGTCAAACATTATTCTAGTTTGATCTTATACACACTAATAGATAACCAATGCAATCAAAATGAGTTTGTTATGTTTTTTATAATATCATACGTCCATTTAGTATCTCTAAAGCTACAGTTTGGCACTCCTGTGTTTTTCTGAAGAAGGCTAAAGTGACACATTCCCGCTTTACCTTAAATGTGGACAGGCCATAGAGCCTTGTGGTGTGGACTGTCTCTGGAGAGACGTTGGTGATATTCGTTATGAACTCCTCCAGATATCTGCAGGCCTGCTCCAGGTGGGTGGTGTTAATGATAATCTGCACCAGCTACAAAAACAAAGCCACACTCACTCACTGATTCTGACAGACGGGTTTAAGACTGATCTGAGCACGGCGCGCTCCCACCTCTGTCAGTCCTATGTGAGGTTTTTTTATCAGGTTTTGAAGACAGCTGCTCAGAGTTCTTGTTAGTAGCAGGTTGGTTGATTTTCTCAACATATCGTCAATTTCTGTTGAACTGGATAGACAAGAAAAAAGGTTCTGATTCAGGAAGTTCACTTTCTCTGCCTGTTTACAGAAACTATACGATGAAATGTGAGATGTGAAAACATCTTCTGGAGTGTATGTCAGCAAACTGGGTGGGCAGAGGCTACAAAAAGAAAGATCTCCACCACACAGGTGTTCAAGGAAACATCTATATGGCATCGCTGAATCCCAAGTGGGTAACAAATGATAAAGACATGTATAGTTAAGATGTGATGAGATTCAAATGTTAGCTCTATTAGTGTGTGAATGATTCAGCCCCCTACCTGCGATGCAGGGACTCTGAGAACTTGAGGCTAGCATAAATGAACTCTTTGACCTGGGAATAGATCTGAGGGACAGACTGGGACATAGGCAGCTTCTTGGGAAAGTCCTGCTGCTTCCACAAACAAACAAACAAACCCAGAAGACAGCAAACAACAGTCATGAACAACAGCCTTACAGCTGAATGCAGGTTATAAGCTGAGAATGTACAGATACATCCTAAATAAGACTACATGTTACCTTTTCAACCTCGGCGTCGTGAAAGGGAAAGCGGCTGACCACCAGCTTATACTCCTCCTCCGTTTCCACCGGGATGGGACTGTAGTTGTCCAGCTCAAAGATCTCCCTGTAGAAAACAGCACACCTCACTGTTCACAAGCACTTTAGTTTTGAATAAAACAGCACAGGCTTTACCACAGTTGTGTTAGAGATTTTAGAATATTTATTACAAATACTCTAAAAGTACTGTTAGTGTAAATTAAAATGACTTGAGACTATTAGTATATTAACTACAAGAAAATCCAGACTCCAGGTTCCCCCTGATTCTCTCGCTCACCTTCCTGAGGGCTTTCATGGTTAAACAATGTGTGGAATTATATTCTCATTTTCTTAGCTGGATGTCTGTTTGTGTTCAAAAACAGTTTGTAAAGCGTCTGCACATTTCCAGATGGGATTGTGTTGAGTAAACAAACATGTATACACATAGATAATAGGGAGTACTATTGTAAGACTGACTTGAGATTTTTAAATCCTCCCTAAAAACACACTTCTTCTCCACTCAAGTCTAAGTGGACATCTGGCAAAAAAATGTATTTACATTTTTATTTACATTTTAACTTATTTTATTTTCATTCTATTTTATATTCATTGCATTGTGTTTATGCATTGTGTGATGATTGATGATGGCTGCGGACAGCAGCAAAGCCTCAGCCACAGGGACAGATCAGGAAGGCCCACCTGAAAACCAGGGCCCATTTCTTCAGCAGGGTCTCATTGTACTGGTCTCTGACCTCGAACAGCAAGTCAAAGAGTCGGTTGACTGGGAATCCATAACCCTACATAAACACACGGATGTACAAAGAACCAGTAGATGTTAAGGACAGCCGTCCCACTCATTTCTGTCCACAATCCGTACAACAAAGCATAGATCTCAACAAACCTGTAATGTGTCAGCGAAGATAACTATCATGTTTTTCAGCTCCAAAACCAGGTCTGGGTCCTCACAATATGACTGCAAATATGAAAACACCAGGAGATTAACAAAAACAAGAAAAAACAAGACTTCTATTTGACAAATAATATACGTATACTGAACTAAACAGCAGTTTAGCCTCGTATTGGCCCTTTACAACATATAAACCTTTACATCATTCAGCATGTGGCTTTAAAACTGCAGTTGTTATTGTATTCAGTAATCAATGAAAAACTCTTTTCACTCAAATATTGGAGGAATTACAAGAAGAGTGGGGTTATTTTGCCCTTTTCCCTGCATAGTGTGCGCCACATGTCCTATGATGCTGCTTGTATTGTGGTGCAGCAGAGGGGATGCAGGCCAAAGGAGAGACCACAGCCTTTGTTTGTGTCCTTGCTTCATGCTGTGCAGTCTATTCTTTAAGCTGTTAGCATAATCCTCTGAGTCATTTACAATTGACTGGAGCCCAGCAATCAGGAATATGCCTTCTTAATCTGCTGTTATTGTTAAAATCTGTCTCTCATTAGGGCCCAATGACCTCCCCTTTCCATGCATGCGTCTCTGGGATTTGACCTCTTCTCTTGAGAGTGACATCATTAGTGTGTCTGTGAGTAAACAAGCTTCCCCAGAGCTGTGCCTGTGTATCAGCCTCTGAATAAGGGCTCTTCTCAGATAAATAGATCCACAGCAGGCCGTATTATCTCTATTAGCTTCCAACAGACTCCTTCTTATTCACTATTTCTTGCCTGCTGGCCCCGAGTGCATGTGCTCATGCATGTGTGTGACTGTAAGCTAGCTTACTGAGTGTGTGCGCAGCACAGCAATGATCTTGGATAAGGCCATGTTCCACAGTTCATCCGTGTAGGCTCTGGTCACCAGGCCCTTCGTGGCATGGAGGATATGGTCCTCCACAACAAAAAACCTGAGCACAAACCACAAAACTCCCATAAAGGCTGATAGTTTCAAAGACAAATCTGTCAAACAACGATTGAATCATATGATGGGATGAGCTTACCCTACGATCTGATTGAAGTATGTTCTGTAGCCTTCCACCGTCTCATGCTGAAACACAGTCCCATATGAAGCCGTATTAGCATATGGACAATTTTATATTTCCACCAGGCTCGTTATATGTCTACATATGGTTTTCCGTATGGGACTTAATGTGGAAAATGCACAGAAAACATCTCATACCTAGCAAACAGTACAGAAAAAAGTCAGCAAGTGTGAACACAAAAACAGGTGAAGGGTTTATCACATTAGCAGGAAAGAAATCTTTGGGCAAAGCACCTCTTCGACTATTAGCTCTCCCAGCTCGGTTTTAGACTTAGCTAGAAAACCCCATAAAATACCAGTCAAACGGTGGCTAACTTTCGAGTTTCTGCCCACAGTGAGGAGAGAAGACTGTTAGTACATGAAAAGCAAATCAGAAAGATGAGCCCCAGTTCTGGAAGAACATGTTCCAGAAAATGTTATTTCTGAGTGCTCATTAAACATTTAATGATAATAAAGCACCAGACTTTGCTTGTTTTTGAAGGACCTTTAAAACGATCTTTGTTGGAGCAGATGGAGGGATGTGCAGGCTTCCAACATTAGGCTGTGCACAGTTCAGATGCTGAGAAGCTACTCTATTCAGCACTGTAAACGCAGCTACACTCCATAACAAAGCAGATCTTTGTCTTGGTTCTTTTCCACTATGGAACAAGGCCAGAACACAGATGACAGTACTGACACAACCAGGAGCAGGCCAAAGCACAGGACACGTATAACCACACTGGCCCCACTTTAAACTTGATCAAATGAACCCTTTACCGTAAATTATAGCTTTTTTATCGAATGAGTACACTGCAGATTTCACAGACAAAAGAGGTGCTGTAAAACCTCTGATTCCTACTTATTCTAGGAAGTTTCTTACTTCTTCCATATTGTGGAGGCAAGGATGTGTTTAGCACTTGTCACAAGAGGAAGTGAGTGTGTCTGGATATGTGTGTGTGTGTGTGTGTGTATGGATATATGTGTGTTTGTGTGTGTGTGTGATTGGCTAATAAATAAGTGTCTGCTTATGGATTTAGTTTTGTGTGAGACAGAGGGTTAATGTAGGGTGCCGATATTTTCTGTTGACCCCCAAAGTAACCACTAAGTTGACCTGTAAAGCTATTTTTCTACCTTTCAAGTCCCTGCACAATTATGTCCCAAAGTGTGTTATACTGGAGGAGTCACATAGACCCCGTTGAAGCAGTGATGGAGTCGTGTTTCCTCCTTGGACTCAGCGTGTCAGGCAGAGCCCTACCTCCTTCCTTCAGTGAATAATCTGATAGTCACACTACATAGTCAACAGAAAATCTAACTTCCAGATCCTTCCAAAGCTGGACCACCTACCCACTTCGGATGGGGACCGTCAGTAAACCTGAAGGAAATGAAGAAGCACATCACACAGAGATGCCGCTCCCCCTTGCTAGCTAAATATAAATAAGTTAATATTACATCCCCCTAAACCTCAGGGAACAGGAACTGGACAGATATGCAGAGCCACAAAGCATAAATATATCCATCGGGTGTGCCATCTTAGCTATGTCAGCAGATGTTGGTGCTTGTAAGAACCATCTCTAACACTGTTACAGTTTCTGCACAATTCTGAGAAGCTCACTAATGTCCTGCTACCAGTCTTTTTTTTAATTTTGTTTTCCCTGTTTCCTTTTGCAGGAGCTCCTATAAGTTCTCCACCCGGATTGCCCACAAGGAAGAGTTTCCTTTTTACAGACATAGCAGCTGGTTGTACGGTTATTTCAAGTAGAACTCCTGGTTTTGTCTGTTAAAAGCTTCAATTTCCTCTGGAGTCTCTTCTTTGGGCCGTTTTCCCTCCCAAAAGAAACTTTCCAAAGACTTCTGTTTTTTATTCATTCAGCTAACTTGTGGATTACATTTTGGGCGAGATGTAACCGAAAGAATCCGGTCATTTTTCAAAATAAAAGCTTTTATAAAATAAAAGATTATTCAGACTCAGAGAATAAATACAACGGAAACAATAAACTATTACTTGGGCGTCCGGGGGCCCGGAGCCAGCTGATCCACGGCCCGGTACCGGTCCACGGACCGGGGTTGGGCACCACTGATCTATAATACCTCTGGAGTTTGTGTGTGTTCGTGTGCAGGACCAGGCTGTATCTTCAAAACTCTGTTTGCTGTTGGATAATTTGCTTATTCAACATTGCGCAGTTGTTTATTGAACCTCACCAAGACTCCAAGTCGACGTATTGTCACCAAAAGGTTTAGACCAACTGAGTGATAGTCTGTAAAGTTGTGCTGGTACATGCCGACTATGAAGTCTGGTTATCTAAACTCGATTAATAAGCATGTATAATGTATGTATGACTCACCATGTTGGCCTGTGGCTGCAGTACCAGCCGGGCCTGTTTTTTTCTCTGTTTCCTGTAGTAGTTCTCAAATGTTTCTCGGTCGCCCTGTTCACAAGGAAATACAGAAAAAAAAAATCACACATATTCCCACTTTCTTTAAAAAAAAGCATTTCAAAGTCAGAATCAGAGACTGAAAAAATTAGGAAAAGAGAACCTAATCCTAACGTCACTGGAAAAGTTCATTTTACAAAAGCAGCCTTGTGGCCATTGTTGTTTTTTCCTTTTTGACTCCATTGACCAGCCTCAAGATTAAAAAAACAAAGACAACAAATTCTGACTAAAGCTGATCATCTTTTTCCAATGTGTTACCCTGCTGGGAAACCAAGCTTAATCACTGTTGTGGTGAATGGGTTTGTGGTGCATTTGCATCAGCACCAATGATGTCAGCTGAAACATGAAGCAGGTATTGAGCAGGAAGAGGTTATGGATTGATATGCAGATACTCACAAGCACTGTGTAAATATGTAGACACCGATAAACAGGCGAGAAGTCCACCAGGTCCTGAGCTGTAAGGACCTGTCAGAAACACAACAAAAGGGAATATAACCACTGCAGGGTTGTTCAACACAAGACTGTCAGATGAGAACGCGCGGAAAACTAAACATTAATGTCCTGTTATTGTTTTTACCTGTTCCGGTAACAGGGCTTACAGCTGAGAGAAGCTGAGGAACACACAGGGAGAGGCTGCCAGTTCACCAAATCCCACCATGTCCTACACCGGGTTTCTAACTACGATGACTCTCCTGGTTATGGACAGCTAACTGGAGGTCAGTTATTCAGACTGTATGGGAGGACAAGCCTGCTTTATTGGCTCTCTTCGGTTACAATCTTTCTCTCCCATGGTTCACTTCCCTTCCTCAGGTCCCTACTCGGGGACTGTATTTTGTTTTTGTTTTGTAGAACCCAGCTTAGAGGTGCATTACTGCCAACCAGAGATCAGAACTGCTGCATCCTGATGCTCGAGATGCAGAGTCTGCATTCAGTCCACTTTTGAAGTCAAACTGAGGAACTTAAGTGCTAAGCAACGTTAGTGTCCACCTTTAAATGAACATTGTTAATGTACTTCAAATCATCACAATGCAGACATTTTAATTTATATATTTATAATATAAGTCTACATAAGATATAATAACATAAGATTATACACTAAATGTACATAAGATATAATAATATAATAAAATTATAATGTAAGTCTACATAAGATATAATAACATAATAAGATTATATTCTAAATGTACATAAGATATAATAATTTAATAAAATTATAGTATAAGTCTACATAAGATATAATAACATAATAAGATTATACTCTAAATGTACATAAGATATAATACAATAAAATCATGAAATAAGTCTACTTAAGATATAATAATATAATAAGATTATAATATAAATCTAAATAAGGTATAATAATATAATAAGATTATAATATAAGTCTACATATGATATAACAATATAATAAGATTATAAGAGTAGATTTTATCTTATAGTGGTAAGGTCATATTTTCATAAGTTGGCAACAACCAACATTATCTATGTTACCTCTTCATCAGCTTCCTCTTCATCTCCAGGGTCATCCATCAGCAGGCCGTTGGGAATGTGAGTATTGGTCCTTCCATTCAGGGAGTACAGAGGTTTGGTGTAGTGGCCCCCGCTCTCCTGCTTTGCTACTACACTGTTAAATGTCCGGTGCTGCTGTGCCTGTGCACACATGCACAATCTGAGTTCATGGATATATTTTCAGAGCCATTGGTGGACTTATTGCATATACGGCCTCATACCTGTCTCATTGCTGTCTCCCCAACTTTGTTTGAGTGCTTGCGGATACTCTCCAGAAAGTCCTTGAGGTCCGACATGGAAATCTCTTTTATTTCCTCTCTCAGCCTGGGCAGGTTTTCAGCCATGATCTGACAGAACCTATAGTGACTGACCCTGCACAGGAAACAGCAGAACGAGTCCCACAGACCATCAATCAAAGATCAATCAATCAATCAATCAATCAATCAATCAATCAATCAATCAATCAATCAATCAATCAATCAAAGAGCAACTCATTTGATTCAGTTAAACATTTTAAACAGGGTTCGACATTGAGGATTGTTGCTGTCATTCATGTTGTTAATGTGAAATCATTCTCAGATTCCTAGAGTCAGGGCTCTTCAATGTTTTCCAGGCCAAGGAAGACCTCCACTATAAGGTGCTCTGACTTTAGAGCCTCAACTTTTCAGTTTCTGGCCTCAACAGTCAGCCAGGACCAGGCAGTGCGTTTCTTCAAGAGCAGTGATGGTGCGGGCCTACCTGGGAATATAGATCTTCTCCAGCTGCTCCATGGTTTTCAGAGCAGCATAATATCTGTGGAGACAGAGAGTACAGCCTCAGTCAGCCTGTACTTTACATACAGCTGCTCAAGCCCCCACGTCACTATACGATATCTGATTTTGACTTAAGGATCCACTGGATTGGTAAAGGGAAAGTACTTATTTGGACTTGTTCTTCAGCCACAGAAACTTAAATAAAAATATGTAGTGTTGCTGGCATCAATATGAAATGGTCTCAGATAAAAAAGAATGGTCATAATGTGCAGACAAAGTGTGGAAAAATGAGAATTTTCATGAGTTTTATACATGAGGCCACACATATTTCTTGTATCCTGATACAAAGTTCTACAAATTAAAAAGGTGTTTTTTCACAAGACTGTACACAACACCCTCTGTAAGGTATTTTATTTTATTTATTGATGTACCAATGACTTTCTCAGATTCTAAGTTATCAAAATTCTGTTCTATTTGAGTCTACATAAATCACAAGAGTTCAGCATTAGGTCAGTGAGCTAAGCTCCCATCATTAGGCTGATAGGCAGGCTGTGAAGCGATCTAATTGGTTGGTCAGTGAGTGTAAAATTTATTGTGGACAAATGAATAGAAGACACATAAACTGTGTGGTGAAAAGGTTTGGCAAAATGAGGAGCAAGAGGACGGAAGACATAAAGGTTAGAGGTGGTTGGCGAATGAACAGAATGTGACCCGAGTGTCAGCACACACAGAACACAGTAATGTTCATTTGCAGACTAAATTCATAGATATGGCAGACCTTTCATTAGAGTTTAACGGAGCTATCTCTCTCTCACACACACACCACAAGGTGGACAACATGGTCTAATTGCCTTGGACTGGCTGTGGGCCATACCGGGCCAGCAATGTGGGGGCCTTGTTGTGAACAAGGGCACACTGAGGGTCAATTGTCCCTTCAGTGAATAGTCTCCTCCTTTTGTACACAGTAATGAACAAGAAAGGGTCATTATTTTCCTGTCCAAAGTGAACTTCTCTCCCTTCTTTTTACAGATCGGCATGTAATACACCCAAAAAGGGAAGTTCATGAGGAAAAAATGAACTTCTGTTAAACTGAACCGAGGCTTGACCTGAAACAGCTGCGTTATATGATGCCACTATGTTTTGAGCACAAAGGTTCCTACCGGCATTCATTTGTATAAAAAAGAACCTAAATACATAGAACCGCACAAAAAATAACAAACATTTTCAGGAGAAACTTTGGCTACAGTGCAGCCTGAAGTGAGACAAATCCATTTTTAGTGCCCTAATGTGACCCGTTTTCCATCTATTGTCTTAACAACACAAATTAGATTTTTTTTTTTCATGTGGAAGTGTGGCCCTAAATCCCATCTTGTGGAACGGAATTTGGAACAAACAGAAAACTTATTGCGTTAGTCTGATCAAAAGCAGACTTGCTGAATGAATGTAAACAGGCTCTTCTCACTGGAGCTGCACTCTGGTCAACACTCAGCTGGACTCAAAAGTGTCTCCACACCAACAACACATTCAGCGTTTTGTAAAGGAGAGGGATTTAAGTGTGTATAAATAAATAAGTTTGAAAACTTTATAAAACTACGGTCATTCACAGTTTTATTTTTTTTAATTTGGCCAGAAAATCAGGACATTCAGACTACTTTGCAGCTCCATTAATGGCAGCATTTGGTTCAGGAACAGAGAAGTTTAAATGTCAAAGGAACGGCAATCAAAGTGCAAAGACAGCAGGGTTGAGTCCTCATACAGTCATATTGGTAGCACACACAAGGGTTTTAGAGAGCCTCCATTCACTTCATTTCCTCCTCAGTTGTGCTGAGTGCTTTGTGAGATGCTCACCTTTTGGATTCCAGCTGCTCCTTCAGTTTGCTGTACATCTCCAGCACTGTGAAGCAGAAGAAAAACACAGGAAACTTTTTTATTCTAAGAAAATATTCTTCATCATGGACTGCTATCCAATCAGCAATCAGTGTGAGCAGAAATAATGTGTTTAAACACTTTCAGTCATGACTCCAGGACAGAAACAACTGGTCTGGGCAGATGGCAGATGGTTCTGTTAGCTGGTTTTATGATTGGGCATCACACAAATGACACTGGTTTGGGCTTTCACCATACTGAAGACACTAAAGGAGCAGAATCTGTCAAATCTTGTAAATGTTGTTTTCTAAGGAAAACTGTTCTAATCGATACTCATGTTGAATTAAATTGGACGGAACTAGGATAACATGTAGGATAACTGACAAATGCCAAATCCAGAACAACAAACAGTCAAAAACAAGTAGATTTTATGAAAATGTTTTTCTTTTCTGGTATTTCCAGCAGAATGGATATGATGTCGTCATCATCACCCCAAAGCCTCTTGATTTTAAAATGTTCACCTAATTAAACTATGTCACTAAATAACAAGAATGAAATACAATTACACGGACATTGTAGTCATACAAAAACAATCTATTTGTGTGATTACAAGGAAAGGAAGGAAATCCATCACTTTCAGCATCTGATCAAAATCAGAACAGTTCCCTAAGTTCCCTAAGTTCTCTAATGACATTAACAATAAATCATAAAGCCCCTTATACACACGCTCTGCTTCTGTTAATCTGCTGTCAACAGAACATGCTTACACCACCAGAAGATCCAGTTGGTTGCATAATTTAACAAATAAACAAACAAATAACAGCCATCTTCAAAATCTTTAGCTTTAGAAAAATAGTTTCCACAAAGCCTCAACCTGTAGAAACATTAATGTGTCGCTCTGATACTATTATTTACAACACACAGTGCTGCAAACTTGCTGATTTACATGGATTTTTAAGGTATAATGACAACATTGGAGATATAGACTTAGAAAATGAATTCCACGTGACTGGTTCTCCTCTGACAAACATTTGTATCTGCACCTGAAATGGACGCTTTCCTGGTTTTCTGCTGCTATACATGAAATAATGCATTAAACATTGCCATGGGTAATACTAACTACTAAACAAGCTGATTGGAAGTTGTCATTTCATTTACTTCCATTAAACACTGTGAGGGACCAGACTTAACGAGGAGAAAGGTGTTCCAAAAATGTCAGCTGTGTGGGATTATTTTATCTTTAAGGAGAAAAAGAGGAAGCGCTGGATGTAAAACAGAGTTCTGATGGTGAGTTAATAGACTATTTTCTATTCAGGTTGTTTGTGTGTTTTGCCTTTTTAATACAGTTTACAATATTATTGTCACTTTTTACTGTTCTCTGATGCCATTTCCATTAGTTATTTATAATAATAATTTGTAATTGGGGCCCTTAATGGTGGTAGTGGGAGCATCCACCACAAACAGCATTAGCTTTTGCACCAGTACAGTACCCGTCCTAACGGGAGACATCTGACTCATAACAGCCACTTAGAAACCAGTATCACATCAATATCTAGTTTCATCCGGCTCTACAGAGGGCATATGGTACCCGGTACCCTGAGCAAGTCTAAGGAATTGACTACCAG